ATATATATATACATATACATATATATATATGTCCTACATAAAATCAAGGACTAACTCTGTATGCGCCACCCCGTCACGAGAATTCGTGTGGTTACGGTGAACCGGGTTTTAAGAGCTACTCAGTTTGTTAGGACTTGCACTTGAGCTACAAATTAATCCGGGAGAAACTATAATGGTATGCCTGCTAAATGCTTAAATAATCATGGATAATATTAATTCAATACTTGGGTGTAAGGTGTGATTTTTGGTCAGACAACGAAATAACCCTAACCTGTCCGACCATTCATTCAGTGTTTTATATCTATATATATGTATGTGTGTTGAGATAAATTAGGTATACAGATTACATAGCACTGATATATGGTAAATTAGGTTGATCCCTCTTATTTGAGACATGCATAATCGGATCCGGTCGTTTCAAGCCGTCCATGCCCCGTCGGAGCGTCCACGCACAGACGTCTGATATGCAGTGAAGATGATAGGCGGTGGAAACATGTCATGCTGATGAAGGTAACTGGCATATGTAGGTGGATGTGTGTACTACGTGTTGTGCGTGTTGTGATGGTCCTGATTGTTAGTCTAATGTCCTATGGAGGCACCATAACGAATTAGTTCTTCGAGTGTGCACTTAATGCGACAACAGTCGATCACAGGCCCCTCAGGTGAGCTGCGATTGACAACCTCGTATACTTCGCTTCGTCGGGTCACCGTAAGAAGGCGCGATGAGCTCACGATCGCTGGACGAGCGCTTTCGTCGTCTGCAAGCCAGCAACAAAGAACTTGTACGAATAAGCCATAGGATAAATCGCTAGTTATATAGTAACAACATGTTATTGGTACGGACGTCTTAAGTGTTGCATTTCAATAAACTAGCTAAAAAGAGGGTAAAAGAATGGGGGTACCATGCACGCGGATGACTCGTTTTTCAACGGGGTCGAAGGTCTGGATATCGCTTAGGTTTCGCACGGCATCGATTAGCCTTTCCCAACACAGCTGAACTGCTCGAGATGACTCGTCTTGAGGTTTTGAGGTCGCACAGGGATCGAATAATACGGCTAGGATACCGCACAGTAGTATAGCGGATGCCCGAGGGCCTCGCTGGTAAGATGTCCGCCGGATCTGCATCTGTGTTGAGAAAGTTAGAACGGTAAATTTCAGATTAAGTTTCAATATTATGAGCAGCATGCGTACACGTCTGCTCTAGGGGCTAATGGTACTGTCGACGGAATCACACTGAAGTTGCTGATACATACGGCGAGCAAATCGATCATATTTTATATCGACTTTAACGTTCACTTTAAATAATAAGAAGAAGTTTACTGCCGCAATGTTCATTCACCTTAAACAAATAAGGTTGCAATAACTTGAGCCGCTATAGTTGTCACTGCGCTGTTTGATCGCACTTTTCTAAATGAAAACTGAGTAGCAAGCAGGTTTAGCCTCAGTATGTCACTCGATAGGAGCTGTATTTACTAAACACCCGACACACGAGACAACGACGTGGATGTGTTTGGTTTCATGGCCAGCGTAAGCGGCTCGCAGACCACGCCGATAAGAAAGGCAGACCAAAGAGAAAATTGGCATATTACTCAGAGCAGCAGCGACTGCTGAACAAAATTGTCTTTCCACTAACGTTAAGCGTCTACAAGTCTTAGTTGAATATAGCTAGATTCGACATTGTCCCTGTTTGCTTTGTATTAACAACATTGACCTCTAGTTTCAATATGTCTACTCTGGAGTAGGCTAAAGATGTCATCTGCTGTAATTGAAGTTCTCTTTTTTTTTTTCTTGTTTTTGCTGCACGTTAATCGATACGGTTATTACTTATATGATTTACGGCACGAAAAGAGCGTCTCCTCGCTACGATCTGGTTTCATCACTAAGAGAAAATATCAAAGTAACATATTTTATTACAATTGTGCAGCCGGTGAAAACGCCACTGGCAGGCACTATATCCAGATGAGAAAGGATCTCCCAAATTGGGTCCGTCCTTTATCAGCTTTCGTTTGTTGCTGGAAGTGCGGGCATTTTTGATTTATGGCCAGTAGGGGAAGATTCTCGAAATAGATTCCTCCGCTCATTACATTGTTAAATAGTTATTCGCATTGAGTACGATAACATTTGGCTGCAAGAGACTGCGTAATACCTACCTACATGTCAGTTTTATAATGCTTGTCTAGCATCTTAAGCTAAGCGCCTAATTAATCAAAACCTATCTTGGCCAACATCAACCGATAAGGCGGAGAAAAAGCGCCAAGAGGAAGGTGCACCATCAAACATGTCTAATGTTTTGGAGTCAGTCTACGTTTTACACCCCTTACGCGATAATATAATGCTTAAATCCGTAGGGGTGTACCATGAATAGCAAATGGCATGGGCATGCGTCGGTGTTTTCAATAGAAATTTCGAAAGTTCAAATGATTTTTGTGATAAGTGCCGTTGCGCATCACACGCACACACAGACTGACGACTGTACATCTTTCAACGATGACAAAGTTGCCATGGTGGACTTTGCTGTCTCTCGCTTTAATGACTACATTTAGAAGTGTTAAAGAATAAGCGCAGAATAGAAACCGCAGCGGATCTTTTTAGTTACATGGCTCCAGCAAACTGAACCTAAATGGGCAATCTCGCTATATACCTAGGAAGTTTTCTGACTAGCAGTTCGTTAGACAATAATTGATCGTTATATAGTGCGGGGAACAAACAATGGCGTGGTTATGTAATGAAAAATAAACTGGGTGAAAAAAGAAAACGTAAGTTGAGCAGTACACGTTTCAACTTACTGTAACTGCAAACGGGACTGGCTATTCATTGTTCTACGGCGTACTAACCGGAAGTCGCGTGCAATCGAATCGAACGAAAGCCTTTGGATTTGAGATTGTCCGGGGCGGAAGTAACTATAGTAATGGATGTGGTGTCAGGAAGGTCGAATGCACGAGCCAGATCGAGTTTACGAGTGGTAGCCTCTGGAAAGCCTCGCGCGTTGCCCGGGGTCCAATGCAGGACAATTGAGGGGGGCTGCGGTTGGCCACCGGGGCAGGCCTTTGCCACCGGTCCACGAACAGCGCGGGACCACTCCAGAGGCATGCAAAACGTTGGCAGAACTGGCAACGTTCGCAGAGAGATCACCGATGCGGGAAACACGCGGGCAGGCAGCTTCTAATGTCGCTCTGGTTTCGCCTGCTCCGGATGCAAAAGAACAAGTATGAATCCTACTCACTCGAAGCCGGTACTCCGTCAATTTCCGCTTGTAAATTGATTGCCACTTGCTTTGTTTGTACACCGAGCTAGCACAGCTTGAAGCAATAAAGATGGTGGACAGATCGACAAGACAGGTGATTTAGTTAAAGTTCATCTATAACATGTGTTTCATCTCTACAGCAATGTGAGCCGCTACGGAAAAACTACGAGAATCTGTTGTTGTGGACAAGCACACTCGGCTTACTAAACTGCTCAGAGAAAGCCTATCATAGCCCGCACATAATGCGGGACAGTTGCGATGACGTTTGTCGTCGTGGACGTAACGGTAATGATGTTAGCGTCGACAGAACAAAGAACAGAAAGCACACCGGAATAACTGACGGCAATTGGGAGTGGCAAACTAACGTCGCTGTATTCTAGTATTCTCTGTTATTACCCTGCGGGCTGTATATATACGGGCTCACGAGCGATGCTTAGAGGGTTATGTCCCTACCCTCGCTGGCTGCGGCTGACGCGCATACGGCGCCGTCGCCATAGCCACTGGTCGAATCGGAGACGGAGAGTAAGAGCCAAATTGTAAACAGCATTGAGTGCGAATGCTCACGGGAATGACATGCGGGTGGGCTGTCTGCCATGGCTGCTAATGTTGCGACTGACTATTCTGCTTTTGCTAATGCCAGTATTGCTGTTACTGCATAATTTCATCATGGGGGGAAATGCCGAGGTGCCTCGAGTCATAATATTTTGTTCTGTTCAGTCAGTCGCCACCGCCTGCGCTTCTCACATCCAAAGTCGGAATCTACAATACGTTCTTAACTGCTGGTAGGGAAAGATCACCAGCGAGTGCTTACCTCGCACGATCAACGTCCCGAGAACACATGTAGGCTCTATACAAGGAGCAGGTTCGGTGCATAGACGCTGCTTTTCTGGCTGATATGGTCGATGCTAAGTGTGATGCGCACGGCAAAGACATTCTTACCTACCTGCACAAACAGGCGTATAAACAGAGGGAAACATCGACGCGAATACATGCGTATAAATACAATACCAAATCGACATAAAAACACTACTATCGTACAAAGGCCTGCTGGAACCACCTGTCATTCAATAATACGACGACGCATTGCTATGAATAGTCGACGAAACTATTTTAAAACGCTGTAAGACAGCATCTGGTATATTAGTAGGTGTCCGTGTATGGCCGATACTTTGCCCTAAACGGTAGGTACGACCGGTGAGGTAAGCATCCACAGATGCAGGTACATGATGAAGGTGCAAATATAATCAAATACGACGTATCTGATGGTGCTCGATTGCCTTCTATGTATATTGTTTATACAACCATTTCTTATGTAATGGCCACATGTGGTCAAACAGCTGTCTGCTGCTGCTGCTGCTGCCGCCGCCGCTGGCTGTATTGACTCGTAAAAATCGACGACCCAGGAAGAACGGACTCGTTTCTAACGGGTTACCACTGCGTACGCGTTACGGTGACAGAGGCTGAAAGGGTAACGGCTCGTTACGTTAAATGATGTATTTGTCATCGAGAGTAACTAAGCTCGTCAATATAAAGCAGATATGACTGGCACACAAAGAATCCCTACCAGAGCAAATTGAAAGAAAACGTTTGAGCGAAAAGCGTTTTTATGTACGAATTTTACTTTCGACTGCGCAATTAAAAGTGCATATATTCCATCTCATACGTATATAACGTCGCTGCTGACGTTCAGTTAAGTGTCGGCTAACCGGCCTTAACCACCAAACGACTATATTTCTATAGGACAGATGTCACTCAAGAAACTGTATTTTGTTTGAGGAATTCTGACTGAATAACATTATACTAATTACTTTAAACTGTCAATAGTGTTATAATGTTTTTATTCTGGTGGGGTCAACAAAGTATCATTCGCCGTGTGCGTCATGGCCACTCTTAGAACTCCTGGCTACAATTTTGAGACAACGTCTGCTTTCAAGTCGTCCAACCACAAATATTTCAAAGTAAAACATTTAGATCCTTCCTTTGAGCTCGTATACTAGGTCAAATGCTTAGGTATCTAAATACAGAATTGGTTCTGTGACAAATGGAAACATTAAATGAACGCGGTCTACTGAAATTCTGTGTTGGTATAATCATTATAGGCGCAAATTGCCGTACGACGAAATTTGGCAGCAACCTCCGAAGGACCCCACAGCGTCATCACTAATACTTAAAGCGGCGCACTCCGAGCAAACTACACGGAACTAATAGAACACAGCGAGTCCAGTAACAATACGCCTGTTTTGTTGAAGAAATAAAAAATTCATTGAAATTTCAATTGAAACAGTATCTATCATCTACTAATGTATCATAATGTCGTTAATCCTTGACTTTTTAAAACCTAGTCATGGAGAACAAGATCCCCAACAGCCTTATCAGATGACCGGCGGAATCTAAGCAGCGCTCGGGACCGAATTTTCAGTGACATCGGTATCAAATATGGGCTGTCATTTTCTCACGTGGCTAATGCCAAGCACCAGCAAGCGATCGGGCAATATACAGGTCATAGCGGCGATCAGACCTAGCAAAGCGTCAATCGTCCGCTTCAACCATGATGTGGTTTACAAAATTTACAGTTTTACTTGAGTCATGATGTTTTCGTGGTCTCTGAGGATACGGAATGCTAGCTGCTGTACTATTCGGCTCTTTAGTGGGGTGCTAATATGAGACCATTGCTCTTAAGACAACAGACCTTGTTAAAACGAACGACTTCAAAACATATCATTGGGACGTTCTGCTTGAGCCATACTTTACTGTCGATACGTATAGTAGAATTTGGCTTACTTATATTCAATTCGCCATTGCTCCATCAAAAAACATACCAAGTAGTTTAAGTTAGTTTTGGACAGAACTTCATCCCTGTGCAAGCCATTCCAAATTGCTTAACCTGGGGAGGTATAGGTTCGTTGTGCAACTGATCCGAAAACCGATATGATTGTTCTTATCGTACCATAAAAGCAAACCAAAAGCGGATCATTATGTTTTACGTTTAATTTACGTGCACCGATATTTTTACGTAGATGCTCTTTTGTGTCTTCAGTGAAACCACAGAGCCGAACTGGTACTCCCAACTGGGGACACAAAATTGCCAAGCGAAAGAAAGTCGAGCCCATATTGCACTACTGATTATATTACTCTGTGGGCTAGCAAGTAGTGTATTCGTGTATGTCTCTCTGTTTGTCGACCATTATCCAGAATATCGGCGCGATCATCTGTCTATGATAAGTGCGTCGTACTGTATACCGAACGGTCTCGCATGGCTGCCGCCATCAGCACGACGACACCGATCTCGGCGAACGACCTTACTTTGTTGTTGTTCTACCCCTCTGTGCAGTTCAGTTATTTGATTGTTTGCCGAGAGCGCGACTAATACCCAGCTAGCTGACATGACATCGAGTCGATGTCAGCGTCTCATCTTGGTATGCCTCGCGTGGTAACAATGGAATGGAAAGGCGTCTTAGCAGCTGGTCTCTGCAGTCACTTGGCTCTCCCCTCGTCTCGTTTCCGCTTGCGTTTTTGTTTTCATCGTTGCAGGCTGTACGAGCGAGTGGCCACTCTGAAAGAAATGCAAAAAAACGCTTACGGACCACTTCTTTTGGTTCCTTTTCCAACCGTCTTGCCTCCACTCTCTCCGGTTCCAGTTCTACTGCAGGGTGGGTGGGGGTGGGGTGGGGTGGGGTGGGGGGTAAGAGGAGCGTTGCGACGGAAAGACCATTGTGCGATTCATATCCAGCAGCTGAGCGCTGCTGACAGAGAAGTGTCGCCGCCCCGCAGAAGAAGATACAAAATGTTGGCCTAACCAACAACAACAGGCAGTGTAACAGGGGAAAAAGAAACAACAGCCAACTGGCAAAGAAGATAGCGGAAAAAGACATCAAGGACTTCAAAGCGCCCACAATCAAGCTTGCCCACTACGTGTGCCACTAGATATACGTAAAAAAAAAGATGAGAGTATTAATTATGCATGCAATGACTTTTTGTAGAGTGCAGAACGAGCCTATAATGCAATAATATCATTCGTGTTTTCGTAGCGATGCAAGCCCTGAGTCCGTTCCAGCATACGCAGTAATAATTTAACACACTCCGCTTACCTTGGGTACGAGTCCGATCAGGCCGATTCTAAACGTGTATGAACAAATAGAGATATAGAATCCCAATGTCAATGTAAACAATCACAGATGCAGCCTGTTAAGGAAGCAAATGTTCAGGTACTTATTAGACCAGAACGCTCGGGTCATGTACTTCTTCATCGCCTCAGTGGCCGATGGTCGAAATAAAAAAAGCCCCAAGAAGACAGCGAGGCGAGGCGAGGCGAGGCGTGGCGTAATTACGGATCCCTAACGGGCGTTACTCGGCGCTACATTCGTAGAGCTAAAGCAGTCCAACGTTGTATGTTTTTTTTGTGCTATTCATGGCTGACGGCTATCAGCCAGAATCTGTCCTTAAATAGAACACATATGCTTACGGTTATGTTTGATTCATTGCTAACGATGTTTACAAATACTTGCAGACTGTGAGACGACATTTGGCATCCCTCGTTGTCAGTAGACTATGTTTGCTCATATATACCGCCTGCCGATACAACTGACCCATTGTGCTTCAACGACAAAAAAGGTGGCATGAAAAAAATCAAAGTCGTAAGCAGAAATCCGTGAATTGAGGGAATGACGTAGTGCTAAAAAATGTAAACGCAAAGTTTCATTGCTAGCTAGCAATGGGTTTTACATTACATTCCATTACTAATGGTCCAGCTAAGCTCCAGGTGATCGGTATCAGCCGAAAAATCAGCAAAAGCCAGTTAAACTTAATACTATCGCTAAGCAAGCTACGCGCTGAAAGATTGTGAACTATAAATAAACAAATCCGCAAAACATATCTCGGATCGAATAATTGCGATGCTCAACTCTGCAGCCTCTAAGAAAGTTGACTTCACTCCCTGCAACCTTCTCGTGGTTGTTGTTATTGTTGTCTTTGTCTGAGGCTTATTGCTTTAACTTTAAAAGTAATTCCTCTAACATGTACGCTAAAGCAGAGTTACAGGACGAAAAAGCGAAAATGTAACCGACTCTTTAGCTGCAGAAGCCCAGCCACAACCAGTATCGTTACTCCTTGAATTACTGAACGTTTTCGAGTTTTACGCACGTACAACGATTGAGAATTACGCCATATATGGCCAATGCTTCTATTGCAATCGCCACCGCCAATAAGAAAAACAACTTAATTATCACTAGCGACAATGAAGCACAATATGGAAAAAAAAAACTCAGAAGGCAAACTTTATCTGCCCCATATCCGCCCATACATTATATACATCGTAGAAAGGTCGAGCATGTATGTGTCTGCATTGGCAAATTTATAGGATTACATTTCTGAATCAGTATCATCAACACCGTCAACAAGTATGTACTATTGCTTTGGTACGCGTTTATAACAGTAATAAAAATTATTACTGTTATTGTTGTTGTTGGCCAGTGTAACAATGAGGGCAACTGGTGGTGTTTATATGACCTAATCTCCTCTTACCGATGTTGAAAGATGGCATGGTTCTAAGTAGCTATTTCTTGCATCCTTGAGTGATAATCATCCTGTTGTTTTGGTCTCATCTTGTCGTAGACGCGAAAATATTGCGAATCCGACTAGGTTCACGTCCATGCACTAACTCAGAGGTCAGCCAATTGAATTAGCGTATCCGTCACTGTCTGTTGTCTACAAGACGTTTTCTGCTAAATTGTTACGCGCGATAAACAGCGTGTGATTAGATAAGTGAATTTTCAGTAGACCTTCGAATGATCATAGATTTCATGCCGATTAGGCGCCAGCAAACGTGGGCCGCATCCGTACTGAGCTATTATAATTTATCATACCTCCCCTATACCTGAACTCGAAACGTGATTTATTCGCCGGGTAAATTGAAGAAACGCCATAGTGAAACTGTACGTGTACATGGTACCTGTTGAGATTACCCCCATACTAAACTTCTCTTGGCGGATTATTTTTGGAAGTGTTTCTACTGCACCGGCCACAAAGTCAACTGTCTCGTAAGCACATTTTGTTGTTTAGTGCCTGGCTAAATTTCAGTGAATAAACGAGCCAGCACAAATGCCACGGATCTTGTTCGATAGCTTTGTCACGCTTCGTCTGATGCATCCTAGTAGCTTTGCTTACCCCTCGAAACTGCTCTATAACCGACCAGCCAGGCAAACAAGCGAAGATCACGTCACACCCATGAATTGTTTGTTGCCAGCTGCTGGATTGAACAAGCTGACGACGGCCATTGCGGAAAGAAAATACTGACAGCAAATGCTTATCTGAACGGTGGCTTAAGACTGTGTTATCGCCATCATAACGCTCGGCTGGGTTATCCTCAGTGTTTTTCGACGTAGAAAACCGTACGTTCTACCTGTTTTTCGTGACATGTCTTTAATTGTAACTAACAGAGCTAAACTATGCTGCAGTTCATTTGCGTACCTAGGTCTGACTCCCTCCCTCCCGCCCTCCCTCTCTCCATTTTCTGACAGTTCCACGAAGTTGCTAGACGCCTGGCTCGAGGACGTTTGTTAGGTTGAAAATGTAGTTATGCTATTAATTTATATTGATACGTTCTGTTTACTCTGAGGCGTACGAGCAGTACAAGTACACGGTACGTTGTTTTTATTTTGGCGCAAAAGATCCGAAGCAAATATAATGCGCCCCCCTAAGAATCCACTAGTGTCCCGTGAAGTAAAATCGGACATAACTCATCGCGTAGAACCGCTTGAGAGAGCAGGTTCTTACTGTCGACAAACCAAATCACAGGATGTAAAAAGGTGGCATCGGGAAAAATCTTCAACGCACATAATGACTGAAGTTAGGAGGCTAGCAAATTCGCTATTATAGCTATGTCACTATGTCGAGGGATAGGATGCTCTTGCCTGCAAAACACATTCGCGTAGTACGGAATATGTATGTATGGTATATAGCCATGGTTGGTAGCAGATGTGAAGTATCTACTGCCTAGATAAGGACGTTTCGTAGCTAGTCGAAATAAATTTGTTCTATCAGCTTCTAGCCGTCGTGGTCAATGAACTGAAATGACCATAAACGCCGCGTAAGTTCGTATATGTAATGTATGTAACTAATACTGCGGTGAGCCACTGACAGCTAGTGAAACGAAGTTTAGCCGTGAGATTATAACGTGCTTAGCTTTGCTCAGCCATCACTGAAGGCTCACTTGTATTTTATTCAGTTTCTACTCCGATTCTGTTTATTATAGTGAGGACTAATAGAGGTTTCAAAATAACAGCGGCGTTATTTGTTATTACTCGGCATGCGTTGAACAATACTCGTGTTACAGTTAACGCTAGTATTTCAGTGGAAAAACAATTGTCGTTGAGCTGTTGCTGTTAAAAGGCAATACGAACACGCAAACTAAAATCGAAATGAATCCTGTTTACGGAGACCCTGTAGTACCGTTTGCCACGGCAAAATTTTGGCCTGCAGAATACAGTTGATGATGTGTTATGGCTAAAAACTAAAACTGCCGGAAATATTAAAAAAAAAAAAACACTGCATCAAACAGTGCTAGAGAACTGTCAAGCTAAGGCTAAAGAGATAGCAGAGGCGTCTCGAAAAAGCGTGTTTATCATATCACTGACCGAAGACTTTGGCATGAAAAAGCTAGTCTACGTGGAGTGGCGCGGTTAATCATCCAAGACTATAAACCCTGTTGAAAAGGCATCGTCAATACAGTGAACGATAAGAACTGTTCTATTGGCGGGGGAGTGATTGTAACCGTATTTTGGGAGTAGTCATGGAATTGTGTTAGTCGATTTTCGGGAATATCGGGAACACTACGCATGAAGACGAGCACCAGTAAAAAATAGCGTACTGGTCGCGACGGCAAGCATTCACGATAAGCTGATTGGCATCATCCATCCATTGCATTTGCCAAATACAGTTGATCTTCATCGACCTTTTCCTGTTTGCTAGGCTTAGAGTTTCACTCGGACGGCGGAAATCTCATCGAATGATAAGGCTTATCACACTTGCGAACACGTATTTTGCAAGCCAAGATGCTATTTGGACGACTTAGGCATGGGAATGTCGTTCGATGATCAGACCTGCACTGGGATTATCTTGAGAAATGAAGCAGTGTTTAACGAAGGAAAAAATCGTGTTAGAGTGGAATCATTTCAGGTTGCCTACGTAGTTATCAAGATAGCGAGTTCCTTACTTTGAAAGGGTGCGAAAGTCAAGTATTTGGTCTCACATCAGACTATCCGCAGCGTTTACAAGCTTCGATAACTCGCTGGCGTTACAGCTCGCTTGAATCCGACGTCGAACTCAGAGAACACAGGCAAAATAAAAATGATTGACTTCAGTGAAAGGGATTGTCTGGGATAACCTGTACTGGATTTAGTTCAACCGAGTATTAAGTCGCAGATCATTGTTTACAATTGTGACTACTAGTGATGATACTAATAAATACAATATTGATACGCAAAATTACTTTGAACTGTATAACCATGACTTTGCAAGTACAACCATGTACTCGCTTCGTTTGAAGATTACTCGATGTTTTTGTGTGAACTTCGAACAGTTGTTACTATGTCGAAGAGCTGTCAATCGTGATGGAGTGTAATAAATGTCTATTCCTTGCTTTCTTTTTTCCAACGAAGCGAACAGACCCGTAGTACCAAGTGAAAGCATCCTGCCCTGTAGCCATTGAAATGCTCAGAGAGAGCGAGAGATGGAAATACCCATATAACTAACAAAAAAAAAAACAAGCGGCAAAGTGAAGAATATTGGCTATTAGCGCAAATAGAACGCGCAGCGTCCAGGAATGGACACGTGGCAAAATAGGTACATCGTCGAACGATTCCGTTAACGTAATGCTGCTAGCGACAATAAAAGCGCGTCGTATAAGTAGCGCTAGGTAAACTGGTTCTAAGGAATAGGATGGGTGAAAACGCGGAAATAAGGTTTTGTCTTAGCGCTGTTCTTGAAATAGGCTCCGTTTAGCGACATCGTTTCCTACGAGCAGTTTAGCGAATAGAGAACTCTGCCTCTCGTGTTACGTACTGAATATGTCGCTGTACGCTTTCGGCCGTAGCACGATCAAGTTCGTCATTTTTCATTTGCAATGGCATAGTGACGACACTGCGTAGGGGCATTTTGAGCGGTTTCAGTAACTACAGACGACGCAGTAAAACATGCAGTCGAAAGGGTTATGTGGTCGCTGACCGTTGTAAGGGGGCAGGTGAATAACCGCGTCTTGTCACAAATTGAAATTGCATGAGGATGGATTTGTTCCACCCAGATAATTTAAGAACCTGAAACGAACTCGACAAGTGCTTCTTTAAGAAATGTGCCTATGAAACCTGAATCGAATGCCATCAAAAAAGAAAAGCCATGATTGTTAAATTGGAGCCTGCTGTTTTGGGAAATAATGGCGATTCTCAAAGCAAAGCAATATGATGCGATATAGCAAGAGTGGCAAGTTTCTCTGAAGGTATATGTTAACTATAAACCGGACGACCTAAACTATAGACTTTGATGACGACATATCTGATTTATAATAATGCACTGTTATGCCGTCAATACATGGCTAACGACGGCCAACAGGGATAGCTCTAACCTGTGTATGAATCATTTGGTATTTCCCTTCATTAATGACATATGGTGAAGATAATCGTAGAAGGGTAGCATTTTTGATCGAAGACATGCACTTGAGCTATTTCTGAGCAAGCAGTACTGTGAAACGATGACTTCATGGTGCGCTCATTGGAACCTGACTTTCGAACGATATGTCTCAAATTATTTAATCTTTGGACGGACAAGTTACGACCGTTCTGGTTAGCATTCAGGTTGCTTCAAGGTATATCGCAAGAACAGAAGTAATAAGTAGTATCACAAACGTCTCAAAGGACTGTAACTGTTTGCTTTTGCAGGGTTCCTTGGAGCTCATTTCAGAAATTCGCCCCGTGCATTTCACGATATCTTCAACAGATGTATAGTTTATCTTTAATTTTTACTAATATTCTCTAAAACGTAGAAAGTCCTAGCATTTGTGTTTCGATAAAATGGCAGGTAGGCTGCAGTTGTTGAAATTGTGGTTAGAGTTTGATTTTGACCTTGCTCAAAAAAACGTACACACTAATACTAAGAGGGACGGTCCCCTCGAAGAGGGTAAGGCAGCAATGCTTTTCTCCAGAGATTTCCTTTGAACTATACTAACCGACGTATCAGCTTGTGGAAGAACGACTAAATTGTTACATGCTTTGCTGTCTAAAAAGGAGCGACATAACACATATTTAATTTTTATGATCAGGACGTCGTTTGGCCTCCTTCGCCTTACCTCGTGTTTCTTCCGATAGACGGCATTAAATTACCAATTCTTATATTTCGCTGTCGTCAGCTGCATTAGCATCAGCATCGATAGCAGCACTGAGCAGCAACTACGAGCACATAAAGATGCTATAATGGATAAACGGTGAGAGTGGCGGCCGACTCGTCAGCAGAGCGAACAAGTCGTTGCCATAGAGAGTAACCCCTCTATGACGACGGATCGACTCCGCCGATTATGAGGTACATCCAGGCAGTAATAGTAGTAGAGGTAACCGTTATTAGCGGGAGCCTGTCGATATTATAGGACTACCGTCGTTGTGTAATATAGAGGAGGGGTAGCAGTCTTTAGTTACTAGCTGGACCGAGCTGTTTTTTTTTTGGTTTTAGGAGACGGCGCATCGAGGCTACGTCTGAAGGAGCAAACTGTGTTGTCCGTGCTTTGCTCTACATCTTGTGTGACGTCTGCCCGGCAGGACCTTTCTGGGTAACCGACAGCGTCCGTGAACGTTGGCGAAACGAAGCAAATTCACGATCAAAACACTGTCGACCTCTGTGCTTCCCGCAGTGAAAGACAGATGGTATTAATGGCTCGTAAGATGATCAGGAACAAATAAAAAAGCCAAAAGGATGTAAAAAAGAAAGCTGCGCGTGGAGTTATGGTTGAACTAGCAAAACTGTTGAAACCAACATGCCATATGAGTGCGTCTGGAAAAAAAGCTGTTTGCAAATGTCATCAGATTGCCCTTCTCCCCGGTGCGCTCCACTTCATTGTGTCATGAACGTGTATTAGCGGCCATATGGTGGCCCCAGGAGGCGCTCGTCAAAGCTAACCCTACCTAGTAATAGCTGCGGCCCAGTTTCGACTGTTTGAGAAGAATGAGGGCTATTGTTTTGGTTTGCGATGCACGCGTTTACTGTGCGTGTTTCTATCGTCGAGTCCCTAAGCCGATGCCCGAGCATTGCAGGGATACAAACAGACCGATAAATTCGTATCCGCACTGATCACCACACAGTAAAACGGTAACCGATAAGACCAACAAAAAAGCAGTGTACTCCACGTGTTTTGTCTCAAAAACATCAAGTAGTTACCTGTGCACGATCGCACGATGTGAAAAGCGTAGTTCGCAGTGAAACAGCTAGCCTGGTTCTCGCATGATCAGACTGTATAAATCCTTACCGTAGATTCCTTTTTCTAGCCCATAGTTATAGAACACTGACCTAGTCAATGTTAACCGCGTAAGCCAATATCGTACGATGAAGTTTCATTAAAGAGACAGACATCGGAAGCGTTTCTCACTAGCATCCATGAAAGACCCATGCACTGATGTTACAATTACCGTTTCTCTTGGGGCAGCATTAAGCAGATAGACGTAGCGCTTGCAGCGATATGAATAGTTCCTTCGACAACAACATCAACAACAACAACAATAATAACCGTCACTGCAATAACGGTACGTCCGCATAAGGCGACGGAATAATTTGCTATGCCAATTTGCTACCTTGGAACGTATTATGATAAGTGAACAGCTGACTGAGGCGGACGCAAAAGGGGACATGTTACACGCAATGATATAACTCTACCAAACGTTGACAGAGATGTTAACGGGGCAAGAACAATGAGAAAAAGCAGTTGGAACATCAAATACGATGGCCAGTGATATTTAATTTAAACTATGGAGCGTTTGTGATTTATATAACAGTTGCTTCACTTAAAATTGGCTTTATCAGATCATATTTAAATGTAAGGGGAATTAGTGAATTTATAGCTGATCCCTTCTGTCTGTCACGTGAAAGGGTTTTCTGTCTACCTAATAACCCACCGGCATGTCGTTTTCCATGTTTATCTACGGTAGGTCGTAAAGCGCAGTTCACTCTTCTAAGTCTCATAATGTTTGCATGGTCGCTTGCTTGGTGAGCGTCCTCACCGCTGGCATGTTTTCACCCCTAGCCTTGGCAGCAGAAGATGCAGTGGTCGTTACGAAGGCGCAGCTGGCGGAACTTCGAAACGAAAGACAGATTACAATCTGAGCTGAATGTTTGTTGAGGCCACCGTTCAAAATAAAGTTAAATACACCTTCAACGTTCTGTGACGTTCCGGTACTTCAAATTAACTTTATGACTGCGGGCCCCAAGGCACATTGGCACGAATCGCTCAGGAGCGATATCTGGGACGACATTTCTGCAAGCGTTATTTGAGTACGCTTTGCATGATCCGCAGGAAACCAGACAAATTGTTTCTTGATATCACATGCTTTTCATGGCGTATAAATCGCGTTGTAAGACCCTATTCGTTAGAAACAGTATTATTTGATTTAAAGAAGTAATATGCATATTCTAGGTGAGGTCATAATATTGGCTTGCCTATAGGCTTGTCTGTTATGTACAATATTCTATTTGCCTACCCACCGGCTAACTGAAACTTATGACGTGGGGCATAAAATATTTATATATCTCTATGACCAAATTATATGAGTTATTTATGAATATAGTGTAGATATTCAAGCATACAACTTGAAATTAGCTCATCACACACAATTATCGCCAGCGAGTTCCGCCTGTGTCGTCGACGGGATTTATTGGTGAGCCGGAGCAAAATTTCAAAAAAAAACGGCTGATTATTGTCGGCTTGCACGAAGTTAGCGTTATGGCTTAACGGTGAACTCCATGAGAAAGCCATCTGTCGGTCTCGAAACCGTCACTGCAGTAACCGTTGTTTGTCCCAGTGGTTGATGAGACTGAAACGCTTTAGAACAGACAAAATCATCGCTTTCTCTCTACGCATTACAATCGAAATCGAAGATTGGTACGTAAATTATCTTATCACAGATTGGAAGCATTGTGCGAGATGCCTTCTCGATTATAATACTACTATAATACATAACATAGCAAAGAAATAATAAAAGAGGAAAATATTTATGTTAGCCTCGGGGAATTGTGAGCAGAGTAGTGCATTCGAATGTAAACGGTCGCATCTCGTTTATGCTATATTGAAATTTTGATTGTTTCAACAGATGGTAGTAAAGCGCCATTATAGTACAATGATCTTTATAAACATCAGTGAATAGATAGGGCTTGTACTGGCCATACCAGCAGAGTTTCTGTATCTGGCCGAAAAGGTACGGGTGGCGTGCTGATCTGGTCCTGAAGAGTCCGGTAAGTTCCGGGAAGTGCCCCCTTAATGGAAAATAAAACGTCGGTACCTTTAGGAGTGAGATAGTTACCTACAGATAGGGAATTGGAGCTACGAACTTTGGCGCAGTGAAAGGCTAGGTAGGCGCATTTGTCTAGGCAATACTTCCATGTATAGATGGTTGCTTAGTTAAGTTTTTCGTTCGATCATAGCAACTTAATTGATCTTTCATCAGTCTCTCTTATTTCTTAACTTATTTATTATAATTCAAAGCAAATGGCTTGAGTAGTCGTCGCATAGGACGATAAAGGACATGCTGATTAATTTAGCTATAGCTCCTGAGTACAAGGACTCATGCTTTGTTGTTGTGCTTTAAGCGTACAACAGAACAACATTAAATATCTGAACAAGGTATATTTCGCTCAATAGTCATCCACTGAGTTATATATATATATATACTGTTGAGAACACAGGCTGAACGCTATAATGTCATGATTAGAGATAAAGCAAATTATGCAAAACATCCGAGTGATCATACCAACTTCAAGGTCTTCGCTGATATTTCTACCGATTATCGGCACGGGCTGATACAGTCGTTGCGATTCCTTCAAGTATATTTAATATATTACAGCTGGCGCATTACGGGCTGGCTGTGACATAATATATTGTTAAGGCACGCGGTAGGCACGACTATAGATGTTGTCATATACATTGTCAAACGTAACTTGAATCAGTATAAAAAAATTCATGCGTGACTGATATACTTTAAGCGAACATCTCTAAAGGTGAACAGCTCATAGTTTAGCTAGTTGTGGACAGATACCGGCGTAATAATAAGTAATTTAATAATATAGAAATATTTGTAGCGTAACATTTCTGCATTACATTATATCGCTGAGTTTTTGTCTAAAATCTTACGCGTGCTAGGACATTTATGAGATGCCAGCTAATAAGTAACACGGCGTGCCCATTTGCCCTTGTCGCGACAAGCCTATGCCTATGGAACTAGGTAGACATGGGGAACGCATCGCTTCGTTTTATTTATCTGAAGATTGTTGTTCTGGGTCGGGTAAGTTCTAATATGTAATATGGAAGCCGGCCGTCGGCACATGACTAGATTTCATCTCTGATCAAGCAGTGATGATAAACGTACAATTATATAACAGTTGAAATTGATCGTACTAATATAACGAGGTACATCAGATATGTATATCCGGATACTCGAAAACTGAATTTCTTCGTTCTCGAGGATATTATATTGACTGATCCATGGCCGTGGTATCATGTCCCTCGAGCATGAACGTATCCACTTCTTCATGGATATCTTCAAATTGCAAAACGTCGTCGTTAAGCTCGTCCCGTGTAAATCCAGGGCACGAGCAAATTTCTACTGAGTAAAATTAAAAAAATATTACTACTATCGAGTAATTTGAATTGTAACCTGTCTTTACGATAGTTACCTTTTTACTTTCGTGGAAAATCTGTGCACACTGGGCAAGTTTTTAAGGGACACTTTTCCATCTTGCATCGCATAATTAAGCCAGTGCCAGGGGCAAAGACATTGATCCATGAACTTCAATCCCACAATCGTTTGTGTTTTGGGGTAATCTGAATTCTTCGTCTCGAGGTTAATTTTACCACCTATGAAAACAGATAATAGACGTTTAGTGATTCAACGATTTAGTAATAAAATCCTGTCCCATTACTGACTTTCGCCATGTTATACACTGACGTTGTTGCTAATATATGATGTTTACTGCATAGTAGACGTGACTAAATTGAAAAAAACGGTCATTAATTTGCATATTTAATTCGGTATGTTTGTTGGATTTGAATTTGCTTGTCTGATCACATCGGATACTTTATATTACATAATATCCAACGGGTGATGGTGTCTGGGAACCATCGTTGGTCGATCAGGAGTCCTTCAGTTCTAGTGTTCTGGTGGTCATTCACATGGCGTAATTTTTTCTACTGATTCGATAGGTACTAGCGGAAAGAGGAACAGCACTGAAGGGTTCAAGCTTTTGCATGGAGGACACACGGCGCATCGGCGAAGCTAGATATCGCTAAAACATCTCTAGCCAACCGGTTATTGCCCATAAGAATTAAGGCAGATAAAATAGAACTACACTGGGCTGAAGTTAGTAAAAAAAAAACGTTATTAAAATAAGTATAAATATAGGTAGATCGTCGATTAGGTGTACAATTATCATGTAATTTGCAATGGAAGCGAATGGATTGTTTAGCTTAGGCTTTGCTTACCATGAATAATTTCGAAAGTCGCATTTTTTATGTAAAATGTCAATTTGTTGACCGGATTTTATTTTAATTACATCGTTTATAATTTAACTTTGTTCACTAGACACCCAGATAACTTCATCGAGGATTTCCAAATGGAGATTCGGTGCAAGTAAACGTTTTTCTCCTTGGTTTCTACTTTTCATTGCATATGAAAATCAAAATGTGTCTGTTTGGTAAAAGCAATAATCTCGCTGGCTGAAAGAGATATTAAGCGCACCTTCGTAGGAATCAGTCCAGGTTACCTGAGTGTATATTACTGCAATATGTTATATAATATTACTGCAAAATATGAGTATCTAATGCTGCTAGACAATGACCCTTATTATTACCAAAAACCTAATGTAAACGGTCATTCCGATATAACAGAGGATGTAGTATTTACTATTAGAACACAAGGAAAATGTTTTCTTTTTTTTTTTTCTCATAATTACTGGGAACGTGCATCCATTTTTAAACAGTTGAAACTAGATTACATGGCTAACTGTTCGATGAGTCGGTGGGATTTCGTCCTCAGAGGAAGTTAAATGGTTTGAAGGCCTACAATGATCTGGTAAGAGGACCAGATCCCAACCAGGGCTCAGCGAATTTGTAAAAGAACGTTTTTGTTAGTAGATTGTTACTTCCAGTATTAGTTCATTGAGAAGCACTGCAAAAAAAGCCCTCCCTCTCAAAATCTAATCTGATCTTTTTTCTATTGATCTAAAACGGGCTTTACATATCGACGCAAACATGCAAGAACGTAACTTGGCACTTGTTCTACAAACTTGGAACAAGCATCTTTAACAGGATAAGTACACATAAACGCATGCAGCTCGTTGGGTTACTATGTTGTTATATTATTAAACGTGATTGAGCTAAATTTTGGTAAAACTCGACATGGTAATGTCAACTTGCTCATTCGTACCTTTGCCAAGTAGTAGGTGTTTACAAAATTGAAGGCGAAAAGGAAAATTTGAAATATTGAACTATTTGTTTTAGCTGCAGTCGTAGTCAACCATTATTATATTGGGTAAAGATGTTCGCAAAAAGTGACGTTTTAGAAAACACTCTTTAAGAAAATTTCGTTGAACTATTTTTTTTCATTTCTATA